CACAGGTTCACAGAAATAAAAGGTGGTCATACCACAGAGCCAGACCTTCTCTTCTCTGCGGACAAAAATCCAGAAGCCTACAAGGGATGGCTGAGCACATTACCACAAAACCCAGATATCGTGTCATATTCCCTGGACTCTCTGCATGAGTTACTACCTAGCACGAGCAAAGTCAGAAAAAACCTGCGCTCTGCCATTAGCCATTACATCCTGGAGAAAGGCCTGTGGAGAAACTGCACTGATCGCTGTAAGGCTGGAATTAGAACCGACTCGCGGGATGCCTGCGTCTGCCAGTGCCACAATGACCCTGCCGTGAACCAAGATTGCTGCCCTGTTCGTAAGGGAATGGCACGGGTCATCATAACAATACAGCGGGCCTCTGGTCTGTGGGGGGACTATTTCACCGGTACAGATGGATACGTGAAGGTGATTTTCAACAAATTGGAAGTCCGGCGTTCTCCTGTCATTTATAACAACAACAACCCACACTGGGGCATGGTCGTCGACCTGGGCTCAGAGGATATTTCATCAGCTAAACTGAGATTTGAAGTTTGGGATGAGGACAACAAGTGGGATGATGACCTGTTAGGAGCATGTGAGCCACTTCTGACTGCTGGAGTTAAAGCGGATCTCTGTAATCTGAACCACGGCCAACTGTTCTACAAAGTGGATGTGCAGTGCGCTCCAAGTCTGAGCGGAAAGTCGTGCACGGACTATAAACCTTCACCTATGAATTCAAGTCTGAAGAAGTTCTATGTGTCCCGTCACGCTCGTCCTATTCCAGAGGCCATCCTGTCAGAGATGGGTGTGTTTGTGGACCAATCAAGTTCATGGAAAAATCAGAGCATTACTACCGAGAGTCCCAAGTATGATAGTGTGATGCGGTGAAGAAGAATTGGCTTCGCTAAGTAGTTAAGTGTTAGGATACCTGGGTGGTTGACCCAGTGTTTTCAGTTAATACAGTTTTGAGTCTTGTTTATTCATTATAGTTGCCTTGTATCTTGTGTTTTTTAGTTTAGTTTGCTTACTCTCTTGAATTTATTCAGTATTCTTAGTTTAGGTTGTCTTGGTACGTATATGGTCCCGTTGATGTCTTTGTCTTGTCTCTGTGTCCTTCCCTCAGCTTTGCCCCCATTAAATCAGGCTTGTCTTCATGTTTGCCTGGTTCTCTACTTTCCCACTCGTGTTTCTATGTGTGTGTCTCTCTGTCCCTCGCCCTCTCCGGTTCTGTCAGTCTGTGTCTCAGTGTGCGTGATTCTTGCTTTACTTGGTGGTGTGCATCATGTTCAGTTTAGCGGGCCCCTGTGTCGTCTGCTAGATTGTTGCCAGCCGTGTTCCCCAGGTGTTTCCTCTTTGCCCTTATTCCCTCTTGTATTTAGGGTCTGTCCCGCCCCCCAATATCCCTTACTCTGAGCTGTGTGTTCTGCCTGGTTGTCTAGTTTCCAATACCTTCCAGTTTAGTTTTGTATTTCTATAGTACAGCAATAAAACTGCTTTTTGTCATTTTGGGTCCTCCAATTCTGCCCACTTCACACAACACTTGACAAAAAGGTATCTTCAAATTTTTATTTTAGTCTTGATGTTAGTTGAAACAGTTTGTAATGAGTAAATTGAGCAGCCGAAAGAAGAAAAAGTTAAATGGGCCTAATGCAGCATGTAGGCTGGGAATGATGCCATTGCTTCACTCTAGGTGGCTTTCAACCCACTTGCATCTGGTTTTAACGCCTGACGAGGCGGCCTAACCCTGTGTAGCATCTTTCACCAAGGTTAAGGGTGTGTACATATTCATAAATAGCTGTTGTGGTAAGCACCATGACTCAGAGTGGTGCCTTCTCATTCAAAATGAACTGCGGTTACATACTTACATATGTTTCACATGTCCTGTTATGTATAAATACATATGTACATATATATATATATTTCATACAAACATATGGAAAATGTATTGGAACATTTGCACTTTGCTTGCTTGGGGTTGGACCCCTTTTTTCCTTCAGAGCTGTGTTGATAACAAAGATTCATTAAGGTATGTGACGCATTCCTTAGAGATTTGGTCTATACTGATGAAATTCTATGGCACAATTTTTCAAATTTGTCAAAGGCAGATTAATGATGCAAATTTCCCATTCCACCACATTCCAAAGGTCTTCTTTTGGATTGAAATATGCTGATTATTGATGCCATTTCAGTTCAATGAACTCATTGTCTTGTTCGAGAAACCTGTTTGAGATGAGTGCCTGGAGTGTGCCAAGAAAATATCCTGATATTACACCATCAGCAGGAGGTTAGCCTGTATGAATTGTAGCCTCAGATTCCTGTTCTTAGTTAGCAGATGATCTTCAAAGATCATAGATTATCTTCTGCATACCTTCATTGCAACAAGTCCGTGTTTAAGTTACTTTTACCTTTCTATCTGTTGAAAGATCTCTTTTGACTTGTGGCATCACCAAGGATTTCAAGGATATTTAAGCACCAACAAACATGCCATCTCCAATGTCACTTCAGTCACCCTTCTGCCCCATCATGCCACATTATGATGCTCAGTTTGCTGATGCATAATTCTAGAATAATATAAAATAATGTAGATAATTATCATCAGTAGGTTATACAACCTTGTATTTTGGAATGTAGAACAAACTTTGTGGGGAAAAAAATGAAAATAGGTATTACTGTGTCAGTAGGAAAGATAACTTTACTTTCTCGAGAACTGTGGAACATGGCTTTATACAATATGCCTCATTCACCCATTCATGCAAGCACTTTTTTCCTATACGCTTAAGTGCTTTTGATCTAACAATAACACGCATTCATACTCCGATGGAATTATCGGACGGTAATCTGGGGTTAATGTCTTTCCCAAGGATATTTGACATGCAGACTGGAGCAGCCAGGGACCAGCCTTCTGATAGTTAGGCCTGCTGTTGACTTACTCTACCCCCTGAGTACAGCCACCGAAGGTGTGAATAGTTTTCTGTCTGCAGCAAACTGACAACCTCTCCAGGCCGTATCCTGCCTTTTGACAGCTGGGATAGCCTCCTATCATCATTGGGCCAACTTTGCTATTATTACTGCACAAAATTAAAGGATATACTTTGAGTTCTCAGGAGCAGGTGACGTCCTGTAAAGCCCTCATGATCGAGAACCGTGGAAGATCTGAACAATTTACACCACCCCTTACCTCTCAACCCACTCTACTGTGACCACCTTGTGGCATGTAGCAACTACAACCCCACCTCTGTGAAGGCCACATGCGATGTTAATCATGTGGTCCAGGTTTCACAATGACTCTTTTCTGACGAAATGCAGAATTGAGAGAAACAATATGACTTATTAATTACAATTCTTTATGTTTCACCCAGTTCCGCTTCTGTCTGAACATAGTAGTATTTATTTATTGTCATTGTCAAGAACAATGAAATTGCGTTTGGGGCTTCCATACAACCCAAAAAAAGAAGAAAATAATAAATACCCCTTAAAACCCAAGTGTACATATTTAACCCAGTGTGACTCCAATGCAATAGACAATCCTTAGCAATAACATGAGAACATGTTGGTAGAAATTCAGACAAAGACCTGAGAAACATGACAAAGTACAACAATGCAACATGTTTAACACTTGACCTTCACACTGATTTTATTCTGTTTTCTATTACCTTGCATCCAACTTATTCTCAGTTAATATCAATCAGATACTGGTTTGAGAAACATTTTGTACATGGGAAAACAGTTGCAAGAAATAAAGCATAATATTTTCACACCTGTGCCCGTTTTTCACAAGCACACGAGACAAATAGCAGGTTTAGTTTGTGGTCACAAACTGTTAAACCAGCCCCCTACTTTTTTTTCCACAACACGACCCCATTAGTTATGTTCGATCATTCTTGTTTGTCTTTAAAACACAGTACACTGATACTGATGCTCACAGTCTGATGCAGGTGTGAAGCAAGAGTACACAAGAGAAGGTGAGTAGTCTCGACTTTAGAGTATGCATTTAGGCTACTGACCAAATTAGTGAGCCTGAAAATCTGGGGCTACTGAAATTCTGCAGAAGCACTTTTCATGATTCAACTGACTTTATTTGAAAAGCAAAGATAGAAGGAAAGATGGTTTTTAAGGTACAAATCTGATCTTAAAATATTTTTGGTTTCAAATTAGAATCAGATTTTTAACTTTTGGTTCTTTTCTGCTTCATTGAACTACCTTCAGTAGATTAAAAAATAATATATTCTTAACCTGAATACAGATTTACAAATTATTTTTATATTTTTTTGAGATCCCACTAGTAAGAAATATTTAAAAATATATATCTTTCTGATTTTTCTCTTTCTGATTGTGGGATATGCAAATAAGTTGTCGTAAATAAAGACTGCAATAATGAAAAAGTAAGTTCCTCTTATTCCTACTGACATGGTATTAATATTATTATGATTTATTTTAATCATAATAAATCTAGGTATGAGGAAACAAATTCCGTTATAGGGAAAAAACATTCGACATATCATCGGAAGACTGAAGCTGGTTTCTTAGTGTAAAATTCCTGGTCTAGAGTTGAGAATAGTAATAGTTTATTCATTCTTACAAATATATGTGAGGCATGGTGTTATATTGGTTAGCACCACTGCAACAAGACTCTGTGTTCGAATCCATTGACTGGATGGGGGCTTTCTGTGTTTTCCCCACCTGTGCGGGTGCTCTGGCATCCTCCCACAGTCCGAACCCATGCATGTATTAGGTTGACTGGTCATTCAAATTTGGCCGTGGGTACGAATGTGAGTATGAATGGTTTTCTGTCCGTGCGTTAGCCCTTCAACAAACTGGCAACCTGTCCAGAGTGCTGACTGGATGCCCTTCCAACTGCCTTGATCAAAGACTATCTTCCTACACTGTAACCGATCATAACTACAAAAATTGAACCTCACCAACTATCGACCCATTTCCAACCTCCCATTTTTCTTTAACGTTCTGGAACATACAGTAGCATCAGTAGTAAACCTTTATGAGCCGTTTCAGTCTGGTTTCCATTCTCGACACAGTACTGAACCAGCTCCTGTTAAAATCACCAGTGACCTCCAGCTCACATTCAATGCTGGCTTTCTCACCATCTTCATCGTTCTTGACTTCAGTGCTGGTTTTGACAAGCAGCACTGAAGCTCTTTAGTTAGAACATCTGAAAATAAGTACACAGCACTTAAAGTGGTTTACATCCTACCTGTCTGACAGAAAACTGACAGAAAAATGCATACCAAAAGGATGTCTTCCATCTTTTTGGTATACATTTTTATGCAGACGACACACAAATGTACTATTCCACTGAACCCAGAACTTCCCCCTCCTGTCCTCACCTCCTTCCTACAGGCCATCATCAGTTGGGTCACAGTCAGTCAGCTAAAATTCCACTGGCAATAAAAGTGAAGTTCTATAGTGTTCTATAGATGGATATCAGGTACAAAATTCACATAGTGTCAGACGTCTTTGAGTCATTTTGGAGAATACTCTCTATCAGTGAGATCTCTCCATCTTTGTAACTTTTCAGGACTTCATTCTTTTCCTTTCTAGTTCATGCTTTGATCACCTGTTCTTTGGAATACTGGAATGCCATTCTCTCTGGCCTCCCAAAATAACGCCATAGTTTGCTCCACATGGTACAGAACTCTGCAGCAAGCGTCATCACTCAAACCAAGACTACAGAAAATATTACTCCCATTCTCATCCAGCTTCCACTCAACGTGGCACCAAGACTGTTGCCCAGTGTGACTTGAAACCTCTCACTGACTTGGCACCCCCATGTCTTTTAAACCTCCTTCAACCCTGCACCCCTTCCTCTGCCTTTCACTCAGGTTCATCTGCTTTCCTGACGCCTCACTTCAAACGTGACACTGTCAGTGCCCGAGCCTTAAGCTGTGCTGCACCTCGTCTTTGGAACTCATTATAATTACATCTTCATC